ATAAGACATGGCCTTTTATTATCATGAGTCCTTCAGTTCCTCAGTATTTCCCAAACGAGGGTTTCAGAGGTGTTTTGGGAATTACAGCATCATGTCTCCTCAAGTGACCATTTTGAAGAGAAATGCCTGTTTGATGTATCATATTGGGGTGTTTGTTTGAGATCAGTTTTATTTTCTCAATATTACACCTCATATGTGTAACTGACATTTAGCATTTCCCATTGTTGCTGCTTAATATGTGAGTAAGGGAGAAATTATTAACCCCATTCCTAATTCTTAGTAGGTTCTTTGTAAGTATTCAATAAATATATTAGCTCTTGTCCCCCTCTTTTTATGGGGGCTTGGAAGAGAAATGTTTTTAGAAATGTTGAGCATTGGATTTTACTAAGTTTTCACAGTGAGTGTGTTTATCTTATTCAAATGAAGTCTCTTAGTGAAGCTTCTTGGTTCTGTGCTGGCCTGATAGGATGCTGGGCTCACTGTGGTCAATGAATGGTAACTAATGGTGATTGAAGGACTTCTAGGAGAGGACTAATCTATAAAGTCCTCCATCGCTTTCAAGTGATTTTATAAGAAGCACACACACAGTGAACACTTTGAAAAGATTGAATACAAATGAGAATCATTTCTGCTTTGCAAGAGGAAAGTTTATTGGGAGATTTACAGAGGGCTTGGGGAACTGCAGGAAGGTTGAAGCAGCAGGGACAACAACAAAACACTTCATGTGACACCTCACATCAGACAAGACAAGAGGATCAGGTGGGCCTGGGCTCAGAGCTAGGCCATGACCTTGGGTATTTTTTCTCTCTCTCTCTCTCTCTGGGACTGAGATTTACGGAGAAGCCTTAGGGCAGGTGGCCTGTGGCTGATGGTTGTCAGAGAAGCACGGCTAGTCCATAGATGATTCTTCCATCCTCACAGAATCCTCCTGCTGACTCCAAGGCATCTAGCACCCAAAGGTGTTGCAGGGCCCACAGCGGGAGCGTACACCACAAGGTGTGCAGGATCCGACGGACTTGTCACAGGCATTGGTTGTGGCACAGGGGTTGCAGGGCAGTCTAGGGCACAGAAACATTACATCATCACTTTGAGAAGGGTAATAAAAAGGAAGGAGGAAAGAGCTCAACCCAAGGAGCCATGGGAACCATCAGAACCCATTCTCCAAAGTCTCAAGAAGCCAAGGCTTGGTCAGTATACTCTCTATAAAACTCAACATGGTGGCAGAAAAGAGCAAAGAAGATCTGAGGTGGAAGCCACCCCACTATAACCAGGGGAAGCCCCTTCATCCCTCTGAGCCTCAGCCTCTTCAAGTTCATAACACCTACCAAAAAGAATTGCTGGAGAATTGCACAAAGTCGTGTTGATAAAAATAATGTGTAAAGTGTCGAGTGCTGTGCTCTATTAGTTATTGAAACACATTCTCTTTTAATATGAAAGGTACTCATCAATCAGATGGTAATGATCCCCACTTTGCCTACCTCTGATGATTATAGAAAGAATCAATGAAACAATAGATGTGAAAGTCTTAGTTCCATCAGAAAGCACTATTTCAATATGAGGAATGTTCACAGCTGTCCTTCTTTTTTCTACAACAA